CCCTCGTCTCCCCTCCTCCGCTGACCCTCCCCTCCCCTCCCCGCCTTTCTTTCCTCTCCCCTCTCCTGTCTCCCTTTCTCTCCCCTAGACCCACCTCGTCCCTCCCTTGTCCCTCTATTTCCTTCCTTTTCATCTCCTCCCTCTGCCTCCTCCCCTTCCTCCCCCTCCCCCTCCTCCTTCTCTTCCTCCCAGCCTCTTCTCTCCTAGGCCCTCTTTTTCCCTGGCCAGACTCCTCGCCCACATTCCTCTGGTCTCACCTTTGATTCTGTCCTACAAGCTGAGCCACACCCCCTGGCACTGTCCCCTGCTGCTCTGACATATCAGGTCTCAGTGACACTGCTCCGCTCCAGGTCCCCGGGGTAGCCCAGTCAGCGTGTCACACACCAAGACACACAAGATGTGCATGTGTCCCCAAGTGCCACCTCTCAACACAGTCTGCCAAACTCACACCCCACCGTGGTGACAAAGAATAGCCGCTCCTCCAACTGAGGCTGACAATGGGACACCCCACCCCCACCCCCACCCCCACCCCGGGGGTGATGACCTCCATCGAGGGACAGTCTAACTTGGGTTAAAGAGGTCTGGCCAGTGAATTGGAAGCTGGGGTGGGGTCTGTGGTAGCTAATCCACCAAGAGGAACCCCTAAGGGGTACCTCGAAGCTACCTGGGCAACAGTCCAGCTAGGTGGCACTGGGTAGCACTTGACCCCTCCTAGCCTTATCAAACTCATTAGTGTAGTCAGTGGCTGCCACCCCAAGGCCACTCCAAGGAGTCCAGGCAGGCCACGTGTGTGCAGCACACTGCAAGTCCTCCATAGTCTCTGAAGACAGGTTTGGGGTGAGAGCAGGCTGCCTTTGTGAGCCGGGGCCAGGCTGTGATTAGCTGAGGAGGCAGGGCAGGTCTCTGGTGACTTGCACCTGCCCACCAGACAGCATTGAGGGACGTAGGACAGAGGGGTGGCAGAGTCTAATCACCCCCAGGCTTGAGCTGATTCTAATTGTATTCGGGACCTTAGACAAGTGCACTGGAGTCACAGCAGCCAGCATAGAAGCGACGGCCAGGCTCAGACGGAAACCGGTTGAGCGGCATTGAAGTTAGTGGCAATGCTCACATCAAGGAAAGGGTCTTCAGCCGTGGCTACGGTTGCAGGTCCCCACAACCCGCCCCCAGCACACTCCTCCACAGTCCTGGGCTAATTGGCTGTGACAGCTCAAGCCCTTGGCAGCTGAGCAGTGTCTCTGTGAATTAGGCAGCCGCTGAGGCCGCCAGTCGCAAATTACTCTGCCTCTGCTGTGCCGGCCGCTGACTGGGTGTGAGCTCCTCTGTAGTGCGCCGTGCATCTCACCCCGGCAGGCAGGAGCACAGGGCCAGAGAGGGCAAGGGCTAGCCCTGCCTCCTGCCGCCCAAGGGTCTCACCCTCCCGCCTTCTCCACCGCCTGTCTCCTGCTGGTCCTCCTCGCTGGCCAGTGGCCGGGATGAAGCTCTGACTTCGCACCCCTCTCCGCGGGCCCTAGGAGATACTCGGGGTCCTAAAGCAGCCGCCGGCCTCCGCCACAGCGTTCTCGGAGACAGGAGGCCAGCGCTTCAGTGTCCCCTGCTCCTCTCTGGTCCTGGGCCTGCGGCATTCCTAGGTCTCACGCAGCCACCAGGGCGCCGTACTGTGGAAGGTGGGGCCCACTTTCGTCTGTTCCTTTGAGGCTGCCCGTAACCTATGCATCCCCCACTTTCTGGTGCGCCCCAATTCCTTCAGCATGGGAAGTTCTTCCTGGGCTACCCCACCTTGCTCCCCAGTCACCCCATCCTGCACATCTGCCTCCCAAGAAGGAAACACCTCTCACCTCTGGGTGAATCACCTGTCCAGGCTCTCTCTGTTTTCTCTGGGACACTCCTCCCAGGAGGCGGGGTCGAAGGGGTTGTGATGACAGGTTATGGTGAACCAATACCCGCTTCTACCTTGGCCCAAACTGGGCTTGGATCTAGAAGACCAGGTGGCAGAGACCCAGTCTCTGTGCCCACATGGCCTCTAGCCCGACTCCATGGCCTCAGGAGCTGCTCATCGGGCAGCTGGGTCCTGAGGCCGGGGTTGCTGGGGAATGAAAGAGACAGCTGTGGATCCAGCAGGGGTGGTTTCTTCCCTGTGGCTCTCATGGCTGGCTCAAGGTTCCCACGCTTATCTTTCTGGTGAGGAAACCCCTACCCTGAGGCAGGGCCAGCTTTATCCTCATGCTTGGCCCTTCCCAGCGGCAGCTGTGTGCACAGAGCCTGGCGCCAGGGGACCATGACTCCTGAAACCCCTGCTCCTCTTCCTTGTGAGCCCCATAGGCCTTCATCGGCCAGTGTGTACTGGAGGACCCGGGCCTTTGCTTGGAGTCAGCCTTGTGCATGTACTGGGATGGGAGGTGTCCGTATGCACACATTCTGCACCCATGTGTGTGAACCTGTGTAGACATGTCCGTGTACACTGGGTTGGTGTCCTTGTATACACAGCATTGCGGTGTGCCCCCCACATGCTGGAGACACGTGGGCTTGTCTTGCCCCAAGATGGGCAGAGGTAGAGGAGCTTCAGGGCTTCAAGTGCGAGGGAGGAGGGCAGAGCCGCACCCAACTGTAGCTGAGGTGGGGCTGCTCTATACAGCAGCTCTGGGGCTTGTAAATGGGCTGCCCTGAACCAGCCTCGGGGCCAGGATCCTGTACACAGTAAGACTCATGCACCCAGGGCTGCAGGCTTTCCCATGAGGTTCGCAGTCTGCTGGAGCTCACGCTGTGCTGTGAGATCCTTGCAGATCACAGGTAGAGGCCAAACAGCCTCCAACTTTTCTCCAGGACACAGCTAGGCTCTTGCTGGATCTGTGTCTGTCGTTTTATTCCCTGTTGGTCCCCAGGAGGCAGGTGGAAGGATGCATATAGGAGTGTTGCTTAGGTGCAGGGTGTAGGGTATAAGCTGAGCCGATCTTGTAGTTCCCAGGCAACCTAGTCAGCAAGGTATCTCTCCTCACCCCACCTCATGGCCTCATAGAGAATGGCTGGTGGGAAAGGATGGACCTGATCTGCTGTGGTTCTCCCGCTGAGGCTCTGGAGACAGCAGGCAACTCTTGGTGACATCATGGCTGCCTCTCAGAGCACCCAGGAAGCAGGCACTGAGTGGAGGTTAATCCCACTGTCTGGACACTGTCCTCTAGCCCCTGTGGTCCAGATAGGTCATTGCTGATACCTGGGACTACCATTGCCCTGACACACCAACTCGCACAGAACGGACAAGTATGCAGACCCATGCACACACACAGACATAGACACACACACACACACACACACACACACACGTGCGCTGGCACCTGCAGGACCATCTTAGGTGGAGCACTGAGGTCCCTCAAAGTCCCTGGCAGCCCACCCCAACCGATGCCTGAAGTCCCTGCAGCTTCACCACCTCCTCCTGAGCAAGGCACTGTGGGGACAGTGAGACCTCCTTAGAAAACAGGAGTCCCGAGCCAGGAGTGTTGGCACGCGCCTTTAAACCCAGGAGTGCTGGCGCACGCCTTTAAACCCAGCACTTGGGAAACAGAGGCAGGTAGATCTCTGAGTTCCAGGCCAGCCTGGTCTACAGAATGAGTTCCAGGACAGCCAGGGCTACACAGAGAAACCCTGTCTCAGACAACCAAAAAGAAAAAAAAAGAGGGGCCTTTTGTGTAAGAGCACCCCACCTCTCTGTACACAGGCCTGGACTCCCTTCCCTGCACGGGACAAAGGAAAGCCAGAAGAACTTCCCACACATGGGGTTGGCTTCTGAGCTCTCCAACCAGCTTCTAGAAAAGACCATCTTTTAACTCCAGAGTGAGTGGCTACAACTACCAAAAGATCCACATTGATTTGTATGCCTCACTCACCCTAAAGGAGAAGCAGAGCTGAGACAGAAGGGAGGAGAAGGGAAGTGAACTCAGATCTAGTCCCTCGCAATTGGGGTGAGACTCGGAGCGACTCTAACAGCATACTGTGGTTCCTGAGTACCACATCCAGCAGTGCTACAGTAGAGTCCCAGATGCTCAGAGAGGACAGACAAAGCCTTCAGTACCGGATGCTGAGAGGCCAGGGTACTAGGCCACCAGCCTGGATACAGCTGTTGCCATCTCTCCCCCAAAGAAGTCCAGTGGAGGTCACTCAGGTCCTGTCTGAACTTCCTCCAAGAGGGTAGGTAGCTCTGTAGTAGTAGCTCAGGCAATGGAAGGTGAGCACAGGGATGTCCTGGGTCCGGTTCTTGACTAGGACTTAGATGTTCCACTGGGCCCCAGCAACCAAGTTTCCCTCAACTCAGAGTCCCTTCTTGGGAAGACAGACTGTGTGAACTTCCCCAGCAAAGTTGGAACCTGCAGGTCGCCTTACACTCAGTTCTTGTAACTGAACTCCTGGTGTCCTTTTCTTTCCTTTCTCCCCAAAACCGTGGCTCAGCTGCCCCCAGCCTGTGGCCCGACACAGCCTCCCTGAGTTTTATTCTCAGGCAAAAGGAGCAGGGAGACAACGGTAGCCTGCCTTTCTCAGACCTGGGATTGAGACTCAAACGAGTGATCGTCTCAAGACTGAAGCTGCTGTGAAACCGATGTAATAGAGTCTGACTTCTGACAGCCACAGTGGAGGCAGGAGCATGGCTGCCTCCACATTTGCAAACTGTGGACCTTTATGAAGGGAGGGAGCCTGGGAGGATGAGATTCTCAGAGATCTCCCTTATTATCCAGGCTGGGTTTTGCATCGGGCCACCGGGGCACAATTACAATGCGCTCTACAATGCTTCTGCCCTGCCCTGCCTAGATGGGGGCCCAGACTCCTAGAAGTCAGCACAGAATGCCGTCGTGGCTGCTGACAGACACATTTGCCTCTTGGCCAGTTTCTCTCTGCTCTTGCCTCTCTGGACATGCCAGCTCAAGTAAAACTGAATCCAGGGATTTCCATATTTTTCTCTTCCACGAAAAAAAAAAAACCTGAAAGCCACAGACACACCAGCCAGGTTCCAGTGACTTTTGAATCTAAACAGATTTATTTTTGTTTTTGTTTTGTTTTCCTTTTCTCAGTTTCGTAACAAATGAAAAAAAAGAACACAACAAAAACCAACAACACAAAAATTTTTTTTCAACGAGTTGTCTAGCCTCCTACTCAGAAGGCTCGGCAGGAGCCGCCGGGGAGCGGCAGAGCACCGGGGCCAAGCCTCAGAAAATCAGATCTCAGCTGGTGCAGAAGCGCCCAGCCTAGCTTGCCCGCCGTCGGGCCTCTCTCCGGGCTAATCCAAAAAGCGACCAAGCTTTAAAAAAGATCCCACAAACGAAACACAATTTAAATTAAATAAAAACACTTTTCACCCGCCCATGCCAGGAGGTTCAGGCCTAAGCCTCCTCTTTAAAAATTTTCTTCTAGAACTGTGCATTACTTTTAAAATTCTTTCGCTTCTCTGGAAGGTTAAAATAATATATATTTCCCTAGGAGTCATAAATACGATCTGGTGCATAGAGAAATAGCAGCGCGGGAGTCCGGGCCAGCCCCCACCCGGCTGAGCACAGCCAACCCCCCTCCCCCAGTCGAGTATAGCAGGGCAGTGGGACCGACACGCGGGTAAGTTCCTCGGCTTCCTCTATAGGGAGAACCGGACAGGGTGGGGACAAGCGGGCTGGAGGGCAGGCAGGGCCAGACCCCTCGGAGCGAGTGAGGGCACATGCTGGCACCCCGACCTCCGAGGGCGCACGGGGACCAGGGGATTCCCCCGGGTTTTCTAATTACCAAGCAAAATAAATATTAATGTTGCAAAAATAAGACCACTTTAAAAAGGAGGAAGAGGAGTAAAAACAGGGCTAGGAAAGAGACAGAAAGAAAGACAGCGGAGCAGCGCGGGCCCGGCGGAGGCTACCGGGAGCTGGTGGCCGCGCGTCCCCGCGGCGGGCGGGCGGAGGTTGGGACGAAGAACTGCGCTCCACGTTTGTACAAGTGGACGTTGCCGAGGAAGTCAGACCTGGCTCGGGCTTCCCTAGTATTCACCACTCCCGGGGCGCCGAGGGGCCTCGGCAACGTCTGGACCGCGACCCCGAGGACGTTCAGAGCTGGGGGACCTGGCGGTCGAGGTGCACCTGGAGCTGGGGCTTGGCGACGGGACGCACGGGAAGCTCACCGCAGCCGCCCCGCGCGCACGCGTCCCGGGCCTCCGAGTCCGAGCCGAGGCCGGGGCGGCCTGCGCAAACTTGTCCCCGGCGGCGGCGAGGCCCAGGGTCCCGCGCTCACAGGAAGAAGTCGGGCGCGCCTTTGGCTGCACCGGGGCCGGCCTGCGGCGGCGAGGGCTCCCGAGGGAAGCCGGCCCCGCCCGCGCCCCCGGGGCCGCCCCGGCCCGCCAACTTCTCGTATTTCTCCTTGTACAGGTCCCGCTCCTTGGCCAGACGCCCCACCTCCAGCTTCAGCTGCTCCACCTGGCTCTGGAGCTGGCACTTCTCGCTCTCCAGAATGTGCCGCTGCTGCACCCGCTTGAAGCGGCACGACTGCGCGTAGCCGCGGTTCTTAAGCGTGCGCCGCTTCTGTTTCAGTCGGATGACCTCCTCCTTGCTGAAGCCGCGGAGCTGCCGGTTCAGCTCCCGCACCGACATGGACACCAGCTGGTCGTCGGAGAAGCGCTCCTCCAGGCGCACGTGGTGGCCCGCGCCGCCTCCGCCGTGACCCGCGCCGCCGCCGTGGTGGCCCGCGCCGCCGCCGTGGTGGTGGTGGTGGTGATGGTGGTGGTGGGCGCCGTGGTGGTGGTGGGCGGCGTGGTGGGCGCCGTGGTGGTGGCTGGCACCCATGTCGTCCGCGCCCCCGCCGCCCCCCGCGAAGCCCTGGCCCCGGAAGGCCTCATAGGCCGCAGCGGCCGCCGGGTGGTGCGCGCCGTGGTGCGCGCCGTGGTGCCCGCTGCCGATGAGAGCCTCCACCGCGTCCTCCGGCGTCAGGTTGAGCGCCTCGGGGTTCAGATGGTGCTGGTACCCGCTCATCCAGTACAGATCCTCCAGCACCGCTTTTCCAGAGGCGCCCCCGACAGTGCCCGGGCCTCCACTCGGCGGCCCCGGGGCGCCCCCGGCTTGAGCTGCGCCGCCCCCGCCGCCCGCGCTGCCGCCGGTGCCCGGGCTGGGTGCGCAGAAGCTGGGCGAAGAGGGCACCGAAGAGCAGGGCGTGCTGAGGGGCGTCGAGGACAGCGAGCCGGGTGGCAGGCGGTGGCAGAAGCGCTCGGCCTCGGGCGGCTCCTTCTTCACCTCGAACTTCATCAGGTCGAAGTCGTTGACGTACTCGATGGCCAGTGGGCTGCTGGGCAGCTCTGCGCCCATCGCCAGCTCCGCGGCCATCGCCCGGGGCCCCAGCCCTGCCGCCGCCGCCGCCGCCGCGCCCGGCCGCGCCCCGACGGGCGGCGAGGGAGCGGGGGGAGCCGCGGGCTTCTGTCCCCCTAGCTTTCCCCCCCCCCCTCGAGCCGAGGTTCGTGCCGCGGTGGGCGCAGGCTCTGGGTCGCGCCGCCGAAGGGTGAAGGAAAAGTTTCGTGCAGCCAACTCCAGGCTGTGCTCAGGGAGCGCCGCCGGCCAGGTCTCTCGGGCGGCCCCCCCCCCGGCCCGCTGCGGGCGGGCGAAGGGCCCCGATCCTGCGCTCCTCCTCCTGCTCCGCCGCCGTCCCAGCCTGGAGGGTGCAGAGGCCGCGCCCCGGGCTCTGCCGCGCTCGGGGCTGCCCCGCCCCACGCCCCACCCGCGCTGCCGGCCGGCCCCGCCTCCCTCGGCCCGGCGCAAAGCCGCGCAAGCCTTTATAGAGATGCGCTCCTGAGCCCGCCTCCCCAGGTGGGGGCCGGCGCCCCCGGGCCAATCGGAGGCCCAGCCCTGCCGCCTTCATTTGCCTATCCCCATGGCAACCGGGAGCCCAGCTGTCAATCTCCTGCGGGAAACAGCTGTGGGAAGGGTTGGGGCTGGGCCGCGGGCAAGAGGAGTGGGCAGGGCCCCCTGGTGGCCGCCACGTGGGACTGCACGGCGGAGGGTGCGAGACCAAGCGTCAGACTTTTGCCACCGGCCTGAGTTTTCCAGGATCGCACAGGCGGAGTGCGGTGAGGCTGAGGAGGCCCACGCCCAGGGGACTCCCTCGACGTCTCTCTCGGTTCTGCTAGGGTGGCCTAGCTAGCTGTGTCCCGCACCCAGCCCGACCGGCCTGGAGTCCCCAGAACGGGGACCTCTAACCATCCTGACACCGGTGACTCCGAGCTGCCCGGGAACGCTGGCTATTTTTATCCTGTGGTTGGGACGGGTTCAGGAATTCGGTCAACAAAGTTGCTGGCACCTCAGGCGGCGGCGGGTTGCACGGTGGAACCGCAGGCCTCTGACCCACCGGTGTGGTAGGTGGAGGGGACAGACGCCTGTGGGCCACCGTAGGGCTAGGGGAGCAGGTCTGGGGGCTAGCAGAGCAGAGGGCCCACCGAATGCCGTGTGGCTGACAGGTCTGGACACCTGCCGAAGAGTTGCCAAGCAGGGCCCACAGGAATCTCAGACCAGCAGCCCACTGCTGCAGTTGGGAGGCACCTTGCCGGGTGGTACGAGTTGGGGTGACAGGTGGAAAACAGACGGCCACTCTCAGTCCCGCTGAATGTCTCTACACACCCACTGGGAAGCAGAATCAGCACGAGAAATACAGGGAACGAGGGTGGGTGACAAGGAGAATTCCCATGACTCGGAGTGGGGTTTTCTCCTCTCGACTATCTCTATTGCTGTTATACTTAACTATTAAAAATAAAAATCTTAAATGTAAATCTTTTGGGCACAGAAATAAGCCTGGAAGGATGTTCACAGGATACCTACCCCAGGATGCCATGATGCCAGCAGCCTTGCCTGCTCCCTCTCTACAGGTGCCGGCTATTTTATTGGGGGACTGTCTGGTGGCCAGGGGCCAACAACTCCCAGCTCTTCCCACAATGTCCTGTGGTGTCCTGACTCTCCTCCCTTTCATATTCCTCTGGGCAGGAGAAAGCAAACAAGAGCATGAAGAATCCCCCCAAGAGTCTCCATTCAGCCTCCATTCAGGAGGCTTCGGGGGCACATTGGTGAAGCACATGTCTTGGGCTCTATAGTGCTGAGGTGGTAGCCTCTGCCGTTTCAGTATAATCATGTCCAATCTACAGATGAGAAGACAGTCCAAGACGACTCGTACTGGGTGAACCTGTGCAAAGCGGAGTCTCACCAAGTGAGCCAGAGTGTCACCTGCCTGTGTCTCCTGCAGCTTGGCAAAAGGCATGGGACCAGAGGACTCTGTCTGAGTCCCAGAGCTACAAACCCGGGCATTGCACCCCGTCTGGCCTTGGGAATATGGAGGAGAGCAGAGCGCAGAGGCGGGGGACTGGCATCGATGGCCTCCTCCAGGCCCCACTCCTGTGTTCCGCCTGCCACAGCAAGGCAAAGGAAAAAGAAAAGCCAGGTGTGGTGGTGCACACCTGTAGTCCCAGTACTCAGAGACAGAGACAGGCAAATCACCGAGATCAGGGCCAGCCTGGCCATCAGAGAGAGTTCCAGGACAGCCAGGGCTACACAGAGAAACCCTGTCTCAAAAACAAAACCAAAAAAATGAACAACAAGAAAAATTAAAAAACAAAAAAGGGGGGGAGGCAAAAGAAAGCTGACTCCCTCCCAGGGTGCCATGGCCATTACAAGCTCAGCACCTCAAAAGTGTGTTCAGTCACTGTTTCGGGTGTCAGGTCAGGAACACAGGCAGGGCCTGGCAGGGGCTCCTGTTGGCATTTCCCAGGCTGCAGTGAACTGTGGTCCCGTTGAGGACAGGGTATTTTTTGACTCTAGGACAGTTGCTGACTTGCTGCTGGCTGGAGGCTGCCGGGTTGGCTGAGTGAAGTGTGAGAAAAGGAGACAGGGAGCCTCAGAAGTGAACACAGGGAAGGGTGAGCCCTGCATGCAGGGGAGGGAGCCTGGACGGGGAGGGGCTGCTTGGCAGAAGAGCCAGGGCAGCTGCATCGAGGGCAGACCTGTGAGGGATACTGAGGAGTCTGGGAGACCATGTGTGGCCCAGGGATTCCTCAAGGGTTCTGCATAGAGGGGAACCTGACTGAGGAGCGATGGGGAGTTTGGGTGCCCATCATGCCACCCTGAACAGCTAGTACCGCCTACCTCCTGAGACCACCCAAGGCTGCTGATTGCTTTGGGGTTCGTGTACCCGATACTCAGCTCAACAGCTCCAATAACTACTGGATGGCACCAGATGGGGGCATGGTCATAGTGCAGGGCATGAGACACGGGTAAGGCATGAGACACGGGTAAGGCATGAGACACGGGTAGGTGGGATCTCTGAATATCACCCATTAGAAAGCGCTCTCCTATATACAAATGTGACTTTAACTCATGGGAACAGGGCCCCTGGATGAAGCAGGGACTGCCAGACTCGCAGAGCTGAAACTACACTCCCTGCCCCTTGTTAGGGAGGATCTTTCTACGTAGCACATTCTGGCCTGAAACTTCTTTCCTAGGCTAGAGATGCAGCTTAGGTGGTGAGTGCTTCTGCCGCACATGAAACCATGGGTCTGGTCTCCAGCACCTCGTCCGCTGGGCACAGGCTGTCATTTCAGCCCTCAGGATATGGAGACAGGAGGATCATCTACATACTGAGTTCAAGACCAGACTGGGATAGATGGGCCTTGTCTCCAAAGCACAGATTCCATCCCACAGGCTGCACAATCCTATGGCAGCTAAGGTGAGGAGGCCTCATTGTGACCATCAGCATTTAAAAAGAGGGACTGGGCCAGTCAGTGAAGTGTGTGTCCTGTAAACATGAGGATGTAAGTTTGGATCCCTGGAAGCCATGCAAAAAGCTACATGTGATATTATATTTGTAATCCCAGAGATGCCCAGACAGGAAATGGAGAGAGGTAGATCCCCATAAGCTTGCAGGCCAACTGGCTTGGACTACATGGTTATAGACTGAGAACAGATCCTGTCTCAAGCTAAAGGTAGAAGGCACCTGCCTTCTAACTACAATATGCAAACACCACACACACAGACACACACACACACACATCATACACAGACACACCACATCACACACACACACACACCCCACCACACACACACACACACATCCCACACCACACACACACACACACACATCCCACACCACACACACACACACACATCCCACACCACACACACACACACACATCCCACACCACACACACACACACATCCCACACCACACACACACACACATCCCACACCACACACACACACACACATATCCCACACCACACACACACACACACACACACACACACACACACACACACACACGCGCACGGCTTAAAAGACCCTGGTTTGCTTGAAGATCCCAAGCTTCCAGTGAGAGCCATTGGCCTGGCCATTGCTCTGCCCCATCCCTGGCTATAACCCAGGTACTCTTAGCGGATGCACAAGGAACAAAGGGAACCAGTTGGGGGACAGTAGCCAAACCAAGAAGCCCACTGCCAGCCCCCAGGTAGTCAGGCCAGTGACATGTCCCAACCCCCACATTCCCATCCCTGGTCTCCATGGCTTGTTCCAGATATACAGGAAATACACCTCCAGGCACTCTCTACTCTTGGGCCCTTCACTCAGAGGAAGCGGTATCTGGAAGATGGGAAGGCTCCTCAGCTAGGAGGTGGCTAGGTTGTCCTGCTAGCCTCAGGGAACCAGCTTCGGGGCTCAGAGTTCCTACTGTGCGCCTCTGTCCAGCAGGTCCTACCACCGGGAGCTGCTCAAACACACCCACGTCTCAGTTCCTTGGGACGTGAATCATGTGAGGACCAGCTGCACGCTGACCACTCTCCCATGAGGTGGAAGACCTCTGGCCCATCATCCACTGTGGGCTGCGTGAGCCTCTGTCAGGGGCTTGCGAAGTCCTGGCCATGGTAAAGAGGGTGAGGTAGGCCAGAAGAGCAGTGCCCCAGCCCATGCCAGGACTAGTACGCTCACGTGCGGGCATACTTGCCTAGAACCTGTGGAGCCTGAGCGGCTAGCCGTGTCCCTTTGCCCACCAGCGGAGAATCAGCATAGGGCGAGAGGCGTTGGGCAGGGCTGGTGAGTGCTGTAGCCTGGCATTCTGCAGCTAGGTATACCCAGGGACAGGAGGGAGGGAGACGTTTGCCAGACTTGCTTTTCAGTGTCTCACGGGAGGCCCCCTAATGGCCCTAGTTGGAGCTTCATTTCAGCGGGTCTGGCCCTGAACATCCTAGCCAAGTCCTCTGCAACTGGTCCAGCAATGCGCGCCTCTCCCATCCCTCACACCCATCTCTGCGGGTGCTCATATGGGGGCCCTGGGTAAATAACGAGGGAAGGCAAACTGAGGGCCAGTTAAGGGCCTGTCCGCTTAAGGCCAAGACTGTAGGTGGCACAGGGCAAGCCCCAATGAGGCATCTAGGGGCCAGAGTGGCACCAGGCAAGAGCACCAGGCTGGTTGGACTTGCCAACAGGAGGAAACCCACCCTGGCCCTCCAGCTCCAGGGCTGCAGTATCAGGGGACTCTGATCCATCCACTGAGGGGCGAGTCTCGGGCTTTCTTCTGGAATGGGCCAGGTTCAGAGCC